TTCATTAGTCCATCTTTTTACAGTCCTTAATACAGGTTTTCAGCTGATTTTTTCATAAGATGAACCAAACTGTGATTTTTTTATTGATTGATTTTTTTCCCAACGAATTTCAAAGAACTACCTTCAAGAAAATTACATTTTAACAATGGTGTACCATAGCAATGTTAACAATTTTATATCTCAACCATTAGTAAATGTTTCTACTTCATCACATGTAATGACACACTAACCCAGCAAAATCAGACGAGGACTGGCAGGCAGATTGAGTGTCTTCTCAACATCAGATGCAGATGCAGCAACCTGTAGAGAACACACAATACACAAATAAGAATACATAATATAATTTAGTGAAGTGGAAAGAAGAAAATTAAATACTTACGTCTGCATGCAAAACCAGTCCATCTTCATGTTCCTGGAAGTGGGACATTAACGTTAGAAGGCAGGTGTGCGATCTCTATGTTCTCAGCCTGGAACAGGACATGCTTTACCTTTTCATTCAAAATACTTAATTAAAAATATTCTCTCTCCTTCTCTCTCTCTCTCTCTCTCTCACACACACACACACACACACACACCTGTATTTGAGGATGAGGAACAAGTTAGAATGTAAGTGAATGAAGTAACGTTACTCTGTTATATAGAGGTTTGTGCCAATTTATCCAGTGCAAAACCTGTGATTTAAAATGTGCTCACATACAAAACCCACTTAATAAACAATAAATTAGAATATATTTAGATTACACTCTAAATTGCTTTGGATACGACTTAAGTTGAAATCCGCGCAAAACTTCCACTAAGACTAAAGGGGCAGTCACACTAGGAAGTTGTGGCCTAGTGGTTAGAGAGTCGGACTCGTAAACCAAAAGTTGCGGGTTTGAGTCTCGTACTGGCAGGGATTGTAGGTGGGGGGAGTGAATGTACAGCGCTTTCTGCCACCTTCAAAACCACGACTGAGCTGCCACCGTGAACACACACCCGGAGCAGTGGGCAGCCATTTTTTTTGCTGTGTGTCCAAAAATACTGTGTGTGTGCACTTTGGATGGGTTAAATTCCAAGTATGGGTCACCATACTTGGCCACATGTCACATGTCACGTCACTAGACTTTGAACGTGCAAAATAGAGTACCCTCAATACTTTCAGAAGCACCCTCTGTAATTTGAATCTGATGACAACTGAAGTAGAGAGTGTTGTGTTAAAACAAAAAACAGTATGATTGAAAAAAGTTTAATTATGACATTTGGCTTTAACCAAGCATATAATTATAGCAATGATGGAGCGCTATTAGAAAAGGAGTGGCTGTTCAGGTTTTCACATGCCTCATTTTATTAATGTCCTGTAAAGTGTTTACTCTAATTTACCGATCTGTCAATCAGGGTGTTCTGGATGTATTTTCTAATTAAATGTATTGTGTGTGTCACGGTTGATATATGAGATATATGTCTCTGCTTTTCTGTAAAGATGTGATATCTACAGAGCACTGAAAGTACTATATCTTGTGCATTTTGCCCTTACTCACCCAAAATTGTCAACAAGGCTACTTTACATGAATACGAGTTCCTTAGCAAGTAGTTGTGAATCACAGGTGTTTTATATATGAGATGAGGACATGACTGCAGCCAAAATTCAATTTAAATTTTTTTTTTCGTTTTTGAGGTGTTCCATTTTATTTTGGTTTTAGAAAATAAACGCGATTGCTCTCCTCACAAATCAGCTATTTGCAGTTTGTGTTACGTGTTCTCTGTGCCTTGTCTTGGACTTTTATTTCACTTTCTGTCTCCCGTGGTGTTTGTAGTCAGTTTGTATCTTATCTTGTTCAGCTTGATAGACTCCTGTGTATATATCGCCATCAAAAGCTCTTTATTCCAGAGATACTACAAGCTAGTCAGTGTATTCAGCAGGTGTACTGTATTGTAAATCAAAAGCTCTTTATTCCAGAGATACTACAAGCTAGTCAGTGTATTCAGCAGGTGTACTGTATTGTAAGTTGCTTCAGAGGTATTGCAGGTATTACATACAACAATAATAAAACAGTGCAGACATAAAAAAAGGAAATTTACTTTTGGTATTTAAGTACTTTTAAAAGCAAGTACTTCTGTACTTTTACTTAAGTAAAAATCTGTTTTTACAACTTTTACTTGTAATGGAGTAATATTTGACCAGCAGTATCTGTACTTTCACTCAAGTAATGGAGTTGTGTACTTTGTCCCCCTCTGCTCATCGGCCTCATACAGGACGGTGACGAGTCTGCTTACAGACAGGAGGTCGAGCAGCTGGCTGTCTGGTGCAGTCTCAACAACCTGGAGCTTAACACGCTCAAAACTGTGGAGATGATCATGGACTTCAGGAGAAAACCCCCTGCACTCCCCCCACTCACCATCATGGACAGCACTGTGACTGCAGTGGAGTCATTCAGGTTCCTGGGCACCACAATCTCTCAGGACCTGAAGTGGGACACTCACATTGACTCCATTGTGAAAAAGGCCCAGCAGAGGTTGTACTTCCTTCGCCAGCTGAGGAAGTTCAACCTGCCTATATATATATATATATATATATATATATATATATACACCTTACTACGTGTACTGCGTTAGGCTAACCGAAATTTGTCATTTGCACTTATATATTGTTGCTCTTTTGTTAGTTTTGATTGCTTCTATTGTCCTCATTTGTAAGTTGCTTTGGATAAAATGACTAAATGTAAATGTAAATATTGTACTTTTTAGTCCACTACATTTCTATCAAGGTCCTCGAAGTAGAAAGTCGTTACTATGTAGCAGCTTTGAAAGTCAGTGGGTGATTTTCTTCTCTAAAATGCAATTTTTTTTTTTTTTTTAATTTAGACAGTCTATCAGTAATCACTCTTGTAGGGCAATGTGAAGGGATTTCCCAACATTGGGTTTCCCAGCGCTGACCAGTTGCAAATGTGATATTTATTTACAACAATTTAATATGAAGTGGTTAATATTGTGGTATATATTAGCGACGATATTTTCTGATTTAGCAGCATCTCCTAACAAAACAATAGTTGACTTGAAGTAGCACAGCACAGACCGCTCTGTGCATGACATCAAAGTACCACGAGAGTGATTAGAGGCCGTTTACAGTTGGTTTATTTGCCCAGTTAAAGACTTAGCTGTGTGTTTTTAATAGTTCTATTAATAGTTCACTCAATTCACGACGCTGTCTATGTACATTGGTTAGCCACTTGTACCAGTATGCCGTTTTTTTATTCATATCGTGTGCATATTTCAAATCAGTTTATAGTCCAGCATTAATATATGTTGATATTTTTCACTTGCTGTTAGTGTTTAGTAATAAATTGAAAGCAAAGTTATGTTTGTATTGCTATATTGTATTTTCTCCATGGATCTCCGATTTATTTGAGTGGTTTTTGACAATTAATTAAATATGAACGGCTTAAAAATAACTAGTACTCTGAGTAGTTTTTGAGAAGAGTACCTTGTATTTAATTACTTTTTTAAACACCTGTACTCTTACTTGTAACTGAGTATTATTTCACCAGTGTAGCAGTACTTGTACATGAGAACAAATGTTCAATACTCTTTCCACCACTGCCTATAAGCAATATTGTGTTCAAGATAATCTGTTTGTATGATTGATCATCATTGTGAATCATCCAGACATGGTCAAACAACAGATGACTGAGAAGAAAAAACAGGTTGCAAAATCTTTTTTTGGGCCACTGATTTGATTGTGGGAATTATTTCATTAATTTCCAGATGAATGACCCAGTTTTAGACAGTACACCAACCGGAAAACTGGAGAATGTTGAATAGTCTGAACAGGTACGCTAACACACGGATAAAAATATTGTATTATGTCCACAGACACATTTATACAGATTTATTTCAGCTGTTACATCGCAAGATACAAAAGGAAGAGCGCAATGAACTGAAATAGTTGTAGACGACAGCTGAAGGTTACTCTGTTGTGTCCTAACGTTCCATAAAATTTGTGTGCGAATAAAAACAATGTAGAATCTTACGGTAGTAAAAAGGTATCCATTGTATGATCTGTCTAGAAACACCAGTTTAATGTACCTGGTGTTCAATTATGATTCAAAATGAAGAACTGTGATAGGCTATTCCCCTTTCGAGAAAGAAAATATCACATATAAAATTACTCCTATTTAGAAAGCACATATAAAGACATTAAAAGTGTTTATTAGCGGGGTTATAAAGCGGGGTCTCATCCCCACCAGCAATCCTGCAGAGTTCAGCACCAACCCCAGTCAACACACCTGAAACTGTTAATCAAGCTGTTCACGTTTACTTGATAATTACAAGCAGGTGTATTGGAGCATCCCAGGGTTGGATGGCAATGGACAGGACAAAAATATATGTCAAAATAGATAGAGTACCCTCAATACTTTCAGAAGCACCCTCTGTAATTTGAATCTGATGACAACTGAAGTAGAGAGTGTTGTGTTAAAACAAAAAACAGTATGATTGAAAAAAGTTTAATTATGACATTTGGCTTTAACCAAGCATATAATTATAGCAATGATGGAGCGCTATTAGAAAAGGAGTGGCTGTTCAGGTTTTCACATGCCTCATTTTATTAATGTCCTGTAAAGTGTTTACTCTAATTTACCGATCTGTCAATCAGGGTGTTCTGGATGTATTTTCTAATTAAATGTATTGTGTGTGTCACGGTTGATATATGAGATATATGTCTCTGCTTTTCTGTAAAGATGTGATATCTACAGAGCACTGAAAGTACTATATCTTGTGCATTTTGCCCTTACTCACCCAAAATTGTCAACAAGGCTACTTTACGTGAATACGAGTTCCTTAACAAGTAGTTGTGAATCACAGGTGTTTTATATATGAGATGAGGACATGACTGCAGCCAAAATTCAATTTAATGAAAAAAAAAATTATTGGTTTTGAGGTGTTCCATTTTATTTTGGTTTTAGAAAATAACCGCGATTGCTCTCCTCACAAATCAGCTATTTGCAGTTTGTGTTACGTGTTCTCTGTGCCTTTTCTTGGACTTTTATTTCACTTTCTGTCTCCCGTGGTGTTTGTAGTCAGTTTGTATCTTATCTTGTTCAGCTTGATAGACTCCTGTGTATATATCGCCCTAGTGTTTCTTTAGTTCCTTGTGAGTTGTTGAATGTAATGGTTGTCTGTCTACCAGTTATTCTGTTCTTTGTTCCCTTTGGTTTTTGGCTTATTGTTTGTTCTATTTTTTCCATGAAATTTCTGCACATAGACCCTTTCCTCTGCCTGTTTTCTCCAGCTTCTCCACAATGTTACAGTTTTTCACTGGCATGTCTCTTTGACTAGTGCATTTTTTAGCCTATATTTAGTACAAGTACAATACTGAAGTACTGTTAAAATCAGATACTTTTAGTTAGACTTTTACTCAAGTTGTTTTGGAATTGATGACTTGTAACTTGTAGTGGAGTAATTTTCACTGTAAGCTATCTGTACTTTTACTCAAGTATGGTTTTCAGGTACTCCTTACACCTCTGCTGGAATTTCCATCGACCTGTGTGGGGTTTAATTATTGTTTGTTATTTTGTGCTTTCTGGCAAGAATAAAGATCTCCTCTCTCACTACTTCTCTGCATCCGAGTCCTCAATTTATCCCAGGCCGAGTGCTGCTTTTCTACATAAAGGATTTTGGGAATATTTTTAGGGGTATAATACACAACACACCGTTCTTAAACACATCCCTTACTAAAATTAACCATGGTTTTACTACAAAGAAATGATCCAAATCAAATAATTTGTGATACATGCTCCGAAGTCCTAGTCTGAATCAAACGATTCGCGATACACGATTCGATCGAAGCGCTTTGAAACAGTGAACAATTTTGCGGCACAATTGTTTAACTAATTCTGAGTTTCGAAAAGCTCCTTTTCACCCTGTTGAAAAAACCAGCATATGCTGGTTAGGTATGTTTTGATGCTGGTTTATGCTGGTCCTTTGCTGGTTTATGCTGGTCCTTTGCTGGTTTATGCTGGTCCTTTGCTGGTTTATGCTGGTCCTTTGCTGGTTTATGCTGGTCCTTTGCTGGTTTATGCTGGTCCTTTGCTGGTTTATGCTGGTCCTTTGCTGGTTTATGCTGGTCATGTGCTGGCAAAAGGACCAGCATAAACCAGCATCAAAACATACCTAACCAGCATATGCTGGTTTTTTCAACAGGGCACCCATCACTACGTGCTCTTTAAAATCATTAGAAGCAATGTCGAAATTCAAAAATGAATGACTCTTTTGATCTGGTTTTTCCTAGTGAATCGCTTGAAATGAATGAGTCACAAGCCGTAACAGAAAAAGGATAATACACACCAGAGAGATGCCAAATAAACAACTTTATTTGCTTTACACGGGAGTATCTTCAGGGGTAGACAAGGCCAAAACAATAAACGAAACAGACTTTGACAACTAAATAACCTCAAACAGAAATAAAAACAAAATACAGACCAACTTCCCTACCTCCCTCAACCAAAAACAAAGTGAAAAAAAGATACCTAAATAAAATGGAGTCTAACCCCCTACATCCCTTACTTTGGCAAACTAGTATTTACAAGAATATTTACAAAGTTATTTACAAAGTTTCCGGCCGTACACACAGCAGAATCAGAATCCAAATCATAGTCAAGACAAGCAATGTTTCAGATAAACCAGGGTTTCAGAATTTGATCTTACAATAACAAACACTAAACATTCAATACACTCAGAAGATCTCTCTCTTCGGTACGACACCTTTTCACAACCCTACAACCAACGACGGCGATACATACAATAGCAAGAAACAGTAAATCAGAACGTTAGCGCAACACCAGTATGAAGTCAACGAGGCTCAAAAGGCCCCAGATG